GCGGTCATCTTCTGCAACACACGCCGCAAAGTCGACTGGCTCACCGACAAGATGCGTGAAGCCAATTTTACTGTTTCCTCCATGCACGGAGATATGCCACAAAGGGAACGAGACAGTATTATGCAAGACTTCCGTCAGGCCAACTCCCGCGTGCTCATTTCCACCGATGTCTGGGCTCGTGGTATCGACGTACAACAGGTGTCGCTCGTGATCAACTACGACCTTCCATCAAATCGTGAAAACTACATTCACAGGATTGGTCGAAGCGGTCGATTCGGACGTAAGGGTGTGGCCATCAACTTCGTTACTCAGGATGACGTCCGCATCCTCCGTGACATTGAGTGTGAGTTTTTCAAAAGCAAATTCGTTCCAGGGACTACCAGCTAATTATGACAGTGTACTACTCGACTCAGATTGATGAGATGCCTATGAACGTTGCCGACCTTCTCTCGTAGATGATTTCTTAGTTTTTGCATAAACACATGCAATCAAGTACCAAATATGCCTTGCACCCAAAATAGGTGTGGTAATGCCGTGTAGCGAAGAGGGGTCAAGCCACTCGCTTCAAAAGACAGTGTGGAGGAAAGGGGCTCTACAGCCAAAGAGTAAGCTCATCTCCGCTACTGGATTTTATCTTTCGCCGCTAATACCACTGTTGTGCCTAGAATTAAATTGACTATATACCCGATGACGTGCTACAATACTACGAAATGACTGGGGAGTGGGTTTGTCCCGACATTACTTGGTAAACTTTTGCGAATTCTCTGTCTACATCTACACCGTCTTCATTGATGCATCGAATGATCAGCATTGTTTCTTGGAACGATGCGCTGAGGATAGCCACCGATTACTCTTGCTTCAGTATACTGCTTTGTGGACTCCAATATCCAGTGTTACATTCCTAGTCTGTAGACATGTAGGCAGGACGTTGACCACTTCGCCTGGCCAGCCATTTCATGATCCTTGTACCCGATGTCCGGAGTGGGTTACCGGTAATGAGCGGGGTCATAGCGTCCTCCGGGAGGGGGAGAATGAGTTGTCGATAGAGAGCAATCTAATGCTGGAACCCTCTTGCAACCGCGCCACTGTGAGTGATCCCAGAGGCGCTATTCGCCAGTTTTCAATCTATGACTCCCACGCTGGTGCTAGCCTCCGCATGGCTTTGACGGTTCGCGTGGCCTCTGCCACTATCACCTCCAGCATTACAAAACTCTGGTGCCGGTGTATTGAATTTGTTCAAAGGGAACTGAAGCCCAATACTATAACATAGCTTCGATGAAACTCTTAGATCCTTCCTGCAACGAAACCGTGACTTTCAAGTCGTCACTATGTTGGCACTAGCGTCTTGAGAATTCGTACAGCGGACTTTTCGTCAAGTTCGTACCCGTGCGTGCATATCCATTGGTTCGACTTAACGATTATGTACAAGGAGACATATACGGAAGTAAGTTCTAAACTAGGTTGACACCATTGGAGCAAATGGAGTGTATTTGGCTTGAACCCTGGATTTAATGCAGCCTAGGACTGAACTGCAAGAAATATGGGTCTTCCAATATTTAGTCATGGTCAACAAACAGGAGGTTATTCTTGATCTAGACAGAAAACCAGGAGCGAATCGAGGCCGGAACCCATGGCATGGTTAACAAGTGATTAAAAGTAATGTGATTGTTATGTGCGTTGGGATTACCGGAAGCGATACAAGACCGAAGGACCTCTTTCCGTGTACGCTTGGAGAGCCAATGCAATACCGAAATGTAAAAAATTCTGACGAGAAACGGTAATCTTCACTCATCATGACTTCAAGATGGCTCATAATCTACCAAACTTCATAACAACTCACCCGTTCACAGCGCACGGCTTCTACCTTGCCATCGCGTGCCAGATTATGAACTATTTGTGTTCTGAATGCAGGGTCGTATTCATACATCTACCCAACCTCGTTCGCATGACCGCAACCGGGTTCTCCACCGTCTCCGAACCAAATATGCGTGTCACAGCACCGCACTTTCGAGTTTAAGCCGACACCATAGTGCTAAAGAGGAAGGATAAATACTACTTCTTCTACCTTCCAGGTTGCATTCTCATCAGCAATCACTTTCAATCACTTTCTCTACAGTCCAGCGGTTCAAAAGTAACCCCACAAGTACGTTTCTATCTCTCAATACCCCAGAGCATTCTTTGCCCTACTTCTCTGGAGCATTTCTGTAACAAGGCTCTCAACACCTTGTCTTCAATCACCCAAAAAATCCCCTTAGAACATCATCAAATGTTCTTTAACTAGCAACAATCACCATACAATCACCTTCACAGTACTCTAACATTCTCGCCCATCAGAAAACCCACCACATACATCCCAAGACAAAAATGCAGCCCACCGCCATCACCCTGGTTCTCGCCGCCCTCGCCAGCACCGCTCTTGCTGGGGATAAGAAGACAAAAGAAACCCCTCCTCCTCAGCCTCCTCGTCCCATCATCACTGTTCCAGTCGAGAGCATTGCCCTACCCATCCAGAGTGTTGCCATTCCCATCGAGAGCCTCATTGTGCCCGCTGTCAACCCCGCGCCAATTCCTCTTCCCGCGGCTCCCGTTCCCGTGGCTCGCGTATTTTAAGATGTGAACGCATCTTCGTCAACAAATACAAGAAGGGACAGGCAGGGGTAATCAGTGAGGGCTTTCGTGGTGGCTTTAAGGATGCGGACATGATATCCCAGATTCCTTTTCCAATTTGGCAACGTATCAGAAAAGGGGGGTATCATGTTGGAGTTTCTCGGCATTCTCAAGTTGGTTCATCTTTTGTCTTTGGGAGTGGTGCGGATATGGAAGTGTGTGGTTGCAATTATTACTTTTCTCTTCTTCACCTTCTTACGCTCCTTCCTTTAAGTTTTTTCTCTACCTGGATTTAATGTCTTTTCTATCGGTGCATCTGTACGTGTGGGTGTGCAAGGGGAGAAGAGATACCTATGTACTGTATCGATGGTGGAGACGTTGCCTCGTCTTGGACAATACAACATCTCTGCCTTCCAGTGATATCGTCTTTGGTTATTAAAACTAATTGCGCATAACACGTGTGAATCTTCATTCTGCTTTGCAAGTCCAGATTTTGCTGTTGTGTCTCCAAGGCTGCGCATCTTCGCCAAATGCCAACTGCACCCTCCAAGCATCATCCGATTTGAGCTATCGTCCAATGATCAGAAGCTCGGTCACGGAAAAACCATCCAAACTTTACAAGCTATCTGCACCTCTCGAGTGACCAAAATAAACGAGATGCCATGAGCAGCAGGCAGTCGAGATGTCTTTTGGCCGCCTACGCACATTGACACTGCGCCTCAGCCTTGCGCATTCGAGAACTTGTACACTGCGAAATCCATCGACAATAGCAACTTTCCTGTATCAAGCAGAGACAATGTATATTTGGGAGTAAAATATCGCGAGGAAGGAAAAGGTCATAGGGAAGAGGACTCTATTTGCATGCGTAACTTCGAGTGAAAGCCAGGCACGTTGAAAGAATTGGCGCGGCTGCGATGCGGCTGCGCCCCAACGGCCCCACAGATGACTGCCGCTGAACGTTCATAACGGAGAACCATGCACCCAATGGATAACATCACCGTACATGCGTTGATTCCTCCGTGGCTGATATCGCATGCTGATTGGCCATTTAATCCGGGACTTGTACACCTTGTACCTGTCCCCACCACGGTTACATGCCTTTCTAGTACTAATGCTGGCCCCAACCGATGTTCAGCTTGTCAGCCCCCTCAGCCTCGTCTGCCTTGATTGCAGGCAATAAGGACTGTAGGCAATAAGGCGCCCATTTGCTTATAAGTATCCCATGGAGCCTGAATTTATCAGGTACCGTTCATCCATCTTCTCCCCTGTTGCTACATTAATTCTTGCCCGAACCATGCGTTATCTCTCAATTGGTGGTAAGGATGATGTCAACTCCACTGTCGACCATCATTAACATCCCACAAGCCGCAGTAGCAAGTCTACTTGCATCTAGTACAGCCTTTGGATTATCTCCCCAAGAAGTGTTGGACAAAAATTCCCCACGAATACTCGATGAAACGGGCATCGACCCCTGTACCTTGGTAGACTCCCCAAAAGCGAATGCCAGCGTGCAATTGGGCAGCTGGCTAGAATGCGCTGTAAACGGTACAGAAACTCTCTGATTGAAAACACAGAACCACTATTTCTAAGACCCCATCCTAGGTTTTTACCCGTTCCCAGCAAACAAAAACTGGCCCGAGGGTCACGCAACCTCTTTTTCAAAAGACATCAGGTTTACATTCAACGACACGCACTACGACTTTGAAGGCTCACGAAGGCTTTACAACACATTCAATGCAACCCTAGGAGTCGCTTTCGCGCCCTTCAAGCACGGCTTCATCAACACACTCGGCATTCCCAACGCCAATGGCGACAAGGGCGGCTTCGTGTATATGATTGGGTGGGCCGGTGGATTCCAGACGCGCATACAGCGCGATGTCTACTTTACCAATGCGGCGTTTGCCGTGGTCAAAGAAGTGGAGGGGGAGAGGAAGATTGTTGAGTTTAGAGAGAGTAGTAACATTCCGAATACTGCGATTTTGCCGCCCCCGGTTGAGTGGACGTGCGAGTTTGAATAGGTGGGCGAAGCTTTTGGATTTCATCCGGAAAAAAATGGATTGGATGTTTAAACTACATAGAACACGTGTGCTCCGGTATGTATAGATAATGGATTTTTGGATTATGCTAGAGGAATATATGCTACAAGTCCTCATGTGCATGCAATAGCTTCGTTCGTCAAAGCCCTCGAACAAAAGCGAAGAAGAAGAAGAATGGAATGTATCGTGAATGCCTTACTACCTCGGCAAATGATTGGCCAGCCTACTATATTGAAACAGTGAGTCACAAGCTAGGCTGACTTTCATGATAAAAGATGACGTGTGAGTACCTCTTCACCTCACCCGATACTTATCCAACCTCCACTTTCGCTACGTAAAAGCGCCGTCCAACTAGCCATGACTCTCAAACGCATCGCCCAAGAACTTACCATCCTCCAGCGCGACCCCATAGACACATTCTCGGCAGGTCCAGCTGAGACGGGCAACCTATACCATTGGGTGGGATACATTATGGGTCCACCAGACACTCCATTCGAACGAGAAAAGTTCGCGTTCGCAATCACTTTTCCAGAGAATTACCCCGTAAAACCTTTTAAACTTAATTTTACGTCTCCAATTTCGCATCCCAATGTTTCTGACGAGGGGATTGTGCTTATGCCGGAACTGGGGGAAGAGTGGTCGCCGGCGCAGACTGTTCGCAGTATTTTGATTTGTTTGCAGGTTTTGTTAACGGAACCGGATCTTTCTACGCCGTACGATTGAAGGCGGTGAAGTCAGATACAGCAATCAAAATCTGTCTCTGATTGCCGTACAAATGCCACGTCATATTTGCTAGGCAAGCAGGTCTCAAATAATATTTCGACAATGTAACAACTAAGGATAATGAGTCTTTAGACTCTACATCGTACTTCTCTGTGAATTTCCCAGTCGTAGAGGCTTTAACAACTTACAAAGCTCACTGATATTGTTCAACAACCTAGAGTATGCGCTACCACAAACCGCCACACCCCTCTCTTCTCCAAACTGTCCCAGCTTCCGACTTCAAAGACTTACTAACCGTAGCACTCGACCTCCATGCCTGCAGCCTTGACCTCCTGAATATCATCCCACTCGATAATGTCGATATTACTCTCTACTTGGACAGACACCCGCTAGCAACAGCAAAAGAACTGCTGATCAGACATGACAACTTAGACCGAGAGTACGGTTGGGTCTTGGCTTCTGACCGCGCATGTGTTGACAGGGTACTAAGCAAGTTCTGTAAGGCTGGGAGGAGGCCCAGCGAGTGGTTTGAAGAATTTATGAGTGAGTTGGAGAGTGTACGACGGTTGTTGGAGGAGAAGGTCGCACAATGGGAGAAGGTTTATAGCCATAAACCTTCCTTTTTGCGTGACGGGTAGCATGTGTCTTAGTCGCAGTTGCTGGGATGGCGAGGTATTGCTATGGACCGGGGTGTAGTATGGGTTAAGGTTTTCGGGATGGTAATAAGGTTGGTGATATTGTCAAGGTTGAGCGTCCTAGGGTGCTTGTCGATTCAAAAGGTGCAAGGTAGTTTATTCATGTTGATAGCGCAACTTGCTTACCAACGGAGGAACTGAGCGGTCTAGTCTTCAGCTCATCTCTTCAATCTGGCGGTTTCAAAAGCACTTTATCAAAGCAACTTGGAGATCTTGCATTCCGCTGTCCATGTTGCTGACAAGAGCCAAGATCCAACTTTAGTCGCGCGTTTCGGCGGCATTCCTAGTGATGCAAACAGCATGAACTCTAAGAGCATAGTAGTATATTATCGCGCCGAGATGTTATGTCATAACTTGCATAAACACTTCTACGCTCACGATAATACGTAGTAACGTAATCCGAGGCGAAGTAGGATGACTGTATCACCTACATAGCGACCACAGCGTATCCACACCGTGGAAACAAGCTAACCAAATATATGTCAAGGAAGCTCGTCAGCTGCACCAAGTGGCAGTGGCCAGGATTTTAGATTAAAAAAAGGATAGTAGTCCCCCCAAGCAAGCCTAAGCAAGGCTAGACAAGCATGAGGTACTATCCATATACTTACCATAAGGGATTGGCACCAACGTGACTCCCCCGGGTCCGCGCCGGCCCGAGTCAGCCCGGACCACATACCCAAGCAAGTAAGTATGCATTCATTCCAAGCCTGAAAACCTGCGTTGGACTACATGCCAAGTTAAGCCTCATTTTTTTTTCCTGTTCTCACGGCTACCCGTAAACATCTTACATAGGTGTAAATAAACTCGCGGGTCTAAACGCGCTAAGTGAGGACAAGTGTACTACAGTAAGCCTTGGGACGAGATCACCGGCCGGTGAAGATAAGTAGTAGAAGCAACACAAGACGGGCTGTTAGCGCCTTTGTAGCACGGCAAGTAAAAAAGATCTTCGTACTTGGAGTGGCGAAAAGTACTAGATTAAATTGCCGGGTGCTACTAGTACCGTGGCTTCCAAATCATCCGAGTGGATGGAAGTTGCTAAACGCGGTAAAGCTAGTGTCGTATCGTTTTGGGGGGTGGGTTACCGAAATGCTATCCGGCAACAATGCAGCCACATGCATTTTCTAGTGTGGGAGCCAAGAGAAAGAGAGAGAGTGTGTGTGTGTGTAAAAAATGGTATCCCGCCGCCGCTGCGCCCATTTCGCAGTAAATGAACAAAAAAGGCCGAGGCATGATTGATGAGGGTGTCTTCTATTTTGGTTTTCTCCACTAATAGTAGTCGGATGATATCAAATTGTTTGACAGAAAAAGGAAGTAAGCATATCACACAAAATGTTTGAAACTTGTGTCACCATGAACCAGGGTTAGAGCAATTGTTCGCTTCATTCTTTTTTTTCTCTTCATTTCACATATTGCTAATTCATGACAGCCCTATTTACATCACCCCCACTATGCTCGCCCCCTTTAAATGGGTATATACTAGAGATCGTCGTTTAAAAAACCGCTAACAAAACTTGACTATTAGGAGGTGTGAGTATTGAATGGCTCGGTGGAAGACAACAAGGGTTATGAACATACAAATGCAGATCATGTAGCGCTTAGGCCGTGGTGCATGTGCAACCCTTCCTCAGAGCAGGGTCGGTGTTGGGCCATCCCACACAAAGGCGGTTTCCGCAGTTCAATCCATTGACACCACAGTTATCCCGTGCGCAGGGACCGTTGTAGCCTTGTGGGAGAGGGTCTGGCATGGCGAGAGCGACACTGGCAAAGAAGGTGGCGACTACGATTGAGAAACGCATGTTGATGGTTTGAGGGGTAGGATTGGTAGTTGTGTAGTTGTGTTTAGAGTTGGGTATCTGTATTTCAGAGCTGAGAAGAGAGTTTGTTGTGCTGGTGTTGTGATGGTGCAAATCAGGGCGGCCTGGTTAACCTTTATATCTGTACATCAGTCCTGGATGTGACGTATCAACGGGCCCCGAAACGTGACCGCTGGGCTACTGGTTAGAGGCTACAGGGTCTGAATGGCCGTCACACAGCCATGCACCGGAATGCGATCCAAGACCCTACAAGGCCGAGATGGTATTCCCAGGCCAACCCGAAACGGCACAGCCAGTGCCACTACGCAGTGTCCAGATATGAAGATCAATATGCTGCCCATGCAAATCATGGAGCAATGCACACAATGCAACCCAAAGTGGGCGGATTGATGAGTTCCCCCGTCAGTTGCGTTTGGGCGGCAGGGACTTGGCTCCTTGGCCTTGAGTCTAAGCTGGTAGGCGGTAAGCGGACAAGAGCGTAGATCGTGGTCGATCACCAGCCTGAGCTTTTGCCCAGGAACTCTGCTGCGGATAATACCTTACGTGTTAGTTTAACCGAGATTGTAATGGTATCGATTCGTCCTCTTGCTCGTGTTGGTGGAGTTGAGGCTAAGTTGAGATTGCCGAGACTTTTTGTGCAGATCACAAGGGGTGGGAGGGTCAGGATAGGGCTGTATATGGTAGCCAATATGCATACACTTTAGGATACATAGACAGGTGGGCGTCACGAGCGTGGAGAAAACGATGTCGCACGCCCAGCACTAGACGGCCTAAAGCGCACGACCCTGGGTACTGCGGCCGGTCAACCTGACGTATTCGAGTGTCTTGTCCAGGGCTTTGATGTCGCAAACAAGGCCGACTGTCTACGTCCAGAGGATATGAGACGAAGACGATGCACCTTAGCTAGACTCCTAACTGCCGTCTAGGATAATGCGCCGGCGGCTTGTGGACGACCATAACAAACCGGATATGCGCCAAGGAAAAAGCAGCCACAGAGTAAACGGAACAAGAAACGGCCGCAAAGGACTATGTCAGTGGCGTGCACCGGGGACGGAAGATGCAAGGCTCCATGTCGAACACGGCGCGTTTCAAGGCGAGAGGGTGGAGAAGAGGGTAGAGGGCGGGAGAGAGCGGAAGAGGGTTGGAGGGGAGGGAAGCTAGACGCGTGCCTTAATTCCGAGGCTGTTATCTCCATGCCTGCCTAGCCCAGTCCAGTCCAGTCCAGTCCAGTCCAGCAGCCATGAGCGGCACCCCGTGTTTCCCCGCCATCACCAGTGATCATTGCCTTGATTCCCCCCACCATGAGAGACGATACGAGCAGTAACAACAACAGTAATAACGACCGCAACAACCAAAATGAGGGGCGCCACCACCTGCGCCCTGAGGATAATCCGTTCATCGCCTTCCGCCGGTTCGCAGACTCGCAGGTCTCCTCCCTCCTGAACACTGTCTTCACCCTCCCCGCCACCCTTGCCAGCTACAACAACGCACACCAGGCACGTGAGTTGTGCCTCTTTGGCAAGGCCGATCAGCGTCAATGTGATAGGCTTCACAACATCGAAGCGGAAATTGCGGAACTGCGGAACGAGGGGAGGGAGCTGTTCAGAGTAGGCGATGTGCAAGCTGTCCTTCGTAACAGCGAGGAGCTCATGAGATTGGACCGCAGAGCTGACGACATACGCCGGGACATCTTGCGTGTCTCTGATCGAGAGAACCAAACACAGCCCCCTCGTCGCAATGAGACCGAGCTCGTCGAGAGAGTCGCCAACAAGAAGGGCCAGGAGTGGGGATGGTCGTGGGACTGGGGTTTTCCTAGGCCATTCGATCATGAGTGTCAAAATAACCGGCACACATCAAATGACCAAGACGCCAACAACTCTGTAGCTCTGGACAGGCTGCTGCCGATGCAGGCTGAAGCATCGCGACTGGCCCAAGACTTCGAAGACAAGGCTTGGGAAGACTCGGCTGTCCATCTAGTAAGATTTGACAATTACACCCAGACTCAGTCTGACGGCAAACAACCCCGCCTATGGTCATGGCCAAAGTCATGGCAATGGCCTCCAACGCTAAATTCATCACCGTCTGACATTGACGCCTACTCGCCTTCTGCGCTAGAACAGAATCCTGCCTTGAACAGAGCAGGTGTACCGTGGCGCGCTGCCTATGAAGATCTTCTGCGCACTGAAGAAATCTCTATGTCGCAGCGACAGTCAGCACAGATTATGGAACAAGACAACGAGACTACACATCCAAGCAGCATGTATACCGACACTTGGTCGTCTCGGCCCAAGATCCCCATCACTCACCGACAATTAGAAGAGACGATGGAGCGAAATGGAAAGCCCGTCTGTCCACGGCTTTCTGCGCAAGCTGAACCGAATTATGAGTACAGCCACGATCATGAAGACCAGTACAATGACCAGCCTACAACCAAGCACACTCAGTTTCCCCTGCATACCGCATCCCAACAAGACCCCACAAATCACTCTGACAGAGAAGTCGCAAGCTACGAAGAATATTCCAAGGAAATGCAAGACCCAGCAACGGAAATGGACGCCTACGAGCGTCTTGATGCTGCGTTCGCACGCACAGTCGCCCAGCCAGAGGTGGGGCGCAATGAGCAGAGTGAGGCCAAGTCCTCGATCTTATCGACACTCACAACTACTGAGCGCACTGTTGCGCCCAACGGCACCATAACCACCAAAGTCTTACTCAAGAAACGCTTTGCAGATGGCCGCGAGGAAAGCACAGAAACTGTACATACTGAGCGCGGCCAAGAGACTAACGACCCCTCACGAGATCCTTGGAAGGCACTACGAAGCGGCCAGTCAGATTCGTTGGAAACAGGGGATAGCCGTGGCAAGAAGAAGAGTGGTTGGTTTTGGTCTGGCTAACTGTCTTGCTGTCCGCGAGCCTACGTTAAACTACGCGACATACTGTCTGAGGTTTCAAGCATCTTCCCAGTGGGTTTGCAATCCCCGTTCGCTTCTGATTGCCATTCGATCTCATTCATCTGACATATTCTGATTTTATTTTTTTTTTACAAATAGCAAATCGCACATACCCCTCTCAATTCAATGCAAATTATTTGTCTCCTTTCCAATCCAGAAGATAAATATCAACTTCGTCTTGGTGTTTCAACTGCCTTGTTTCACGTATGCATGTCAGCGTTCCATCACGACTTGGCAAAACCCAATCTCAAAAACATTCTCGAATTATTATCCATACGTACACATCACTATCACATGTGCTCAAGAGCCGCATACACACCCCCACGCAGTGTCACAACCCCCCATGCAGACGTGTCAGTGTCCGAGGCATTCCTCGCAACGCGGACTCCATCGCCACTACACTCCGCCTGCACATACTACTCGCCCGTCGCAAATCCCCGTACCCACACTGCCCGATTCCCACCCTTCCAACTCCGCATAGCCCCATTAACCACGCACACAGCACCCCCCCCACCCCCCACCATACACCCCATGTACAACCACGCCCTTACCCTCTCGCATTGTACTAGCCACCTACCTGTATAACGAAAGTAAGCACTGCCACCCACACCCAAATATAACACCCCCCCTTGTCGCCACTCTACACAACCAGGCGCAAGGAACCTGAGCACAGTCCCTCTAGAGGTGCAACGCATATCCATTTCCTGCGTTGTAAATAGTAGACATGTTGTTCACATACGCCATTAGATGAATCTGACAAAGGGAAAGGGGAGGAGGGTCTTGGCGTTTCCGCTCCGCCCGCTGGGCGGGAACTCAGCTGAAACACGGCGCGTGGAGGACTAGTCGTAACGGGTAGTGTGTCGGAGGGCAAAAGGGAATGTGGAATAACGGTGCGAGAGGAAGGAATACCCGCCGCGTGTTTTTTTTGGAATGATCTTGTTTCTCAGGCCAGGAAGGTTGAAAGGGTGAAGGGTGAAACGGGGTTTGCACTTGGTGGGTGGGGTTTTGCCTGAGTTATGTTGGGGGATGAGAATGTGATGATTGTGGATCTATTGGCGGGGAGTTGTTGCTGGGTTTGCTGGGTGTGTCGTGTCGTGTCAGTAGAGCGGCGTAGAAGGCCGCTTCGTGTAGGCGCTGGGTTGTAGGGGCGATGGGGCTCTTCGAAACAGTGCAGGCGGAGAAGCGGAATATACTCTGTTTCTATACCTGTGGTGGGGACCGGATTTCAAGTGTGGTTTGAAGTACTGGGATATTTGTAATAGAGGTAGCCGCAGCGGCGGAATGGATTGGGTATGAAGTCCTGATTGTGAGACGTCTGCGGATGACTGACTGATTTGCTGATGATCTAATTGAACTGAAAACATTGGGTCGTGTGTAGAACCATTATTGTGTAGTGCTGCGTTACCGAGTTTGGTAAAAAGAAAAGTACAGGAGATGACAGTAGTCGAGAAAAGTTCAAGAAATTCCTGACCTACGTCCGATTCGTGAATGTAGCATTGTCAAGTTAGCCGTCTGCTCTTTGTGGAAATACCACGCAAGATCTTTCTCCATAATTAGTAAGATGATTATCGACGATAAACCTTCCAAGGCGAACCTTATGAGTGTCCCCACTTCTTTAGAAGACGCTCGATATCTTTTCTCGTCGATTTCCTGGCATCCTCTCGATCAATCCCTTGATGAAGCAAGGCGTCGTATTTAGTATGTTTGTGGCGAACGTGTGCAATCACAGCAAGTAAAACCTTTCGCGATAATGGTATCGAATTCGTCCTGCCCACTCTGCCAGAGTGCTTCTTGAACCCATGTTTAAGCACAGTTTCGTGTTCACCTCGGGGCATTTGTGGGAACTGTTTTTCGACTTCAGCACTTGCTTTGGCAATGTCAGTGGCATCGCGTCTGTTAGTTGCAGCACGACGCGTCGGAAGTGTTTGTTTGGCCTGCTTGTGTACGGTATGTAAGATTGCCAAGGGTGCACGTAGTCCAATCTGTTTCTTCTTTTCGAATACAATGTATAGAGGACGGGCTGCGTTATGGGTGAGCTTGCGGCAATGCAGCGTTTTGTAGCGATTTCCCTTTGGGAGGAAACCGTACGCCTTTGGCATTGGTGTATCCACGGATACTGAGATCTCAGAAGGCATATCGACTGGTGAAGTGTCCGCTCGTTTGAAGTTTGTTTATGAGCTTTGGTATATGAAATGGAATCCTGTGATCAGTTCGGTAAGTACGGCATGCAGGTTGAGTGCTTTTGATATTTGAATTGCTAGACAATGGATCAAATTACGTTATCCCCCCTTTTTTTTGTTGATGTGCACAATGTCGTGCGAGGCACGAGCGTATGTACAAAGGGGTTGTTGATGAGCGGTCGCGTTGAATGAGCCGCGTGCAAGTTGGCGCCCGAGACGCTAGACCCAAAGCGTGCACACGTGACTCGGCGCTAACCTATCCCGGAATACTTCGACTGCTTTTTGATCCGCGCCTCAGTGTTATCTTGACTCTGTGAAATGGTTACCGTTCTGAGGGTAGGTGTTCCGTCGACTTGTATGGCCAGTTATGGCGGCTAATATTGGTTGAGCCTGGCTTCCCCCAGCTACGGATGACGCGGCAGCCCCAGATCTAACTTTGGCATCAAGGGGCGACGGGCCCACTTGCGCGCACCAATCCGGCCACAGTTACAGCTAAAAGCTCAGCCAGACTCCAGCCACGGTCAGCTGAATGGCAACGTCGTGGCATACTTATAAAATCTTCAGCCACACATTCAGACCCTGTCAATGACAGTCCCCGCGCGTGACCTGTTCTTTCTGCCGTCTCTAGCTTCTCTGGCCATGCAGATCAAGCCTCTGAGTCGATCCGATACAGGTTTTGGCGACGATACCGACCTAGCCAACACGACATACAACGACAAGTACGTCATCGTGTATGACTTCAGCAACGTTGGTATGTCCATGGACCACTCCATTCATGGCTCTTACTCACAAACACCAGACGATGAGGTTGCCATCAAAGAGTGCCAACAGCTACTGTACGATCTCGAGTCTGCTGGACTGAACACCGAAGTGCGTGCTGGCTATGATGAATCTTTGTTAGTTTTTGTCCAAGTGCCGCGGGATTTGCTTGGCAACACTGTATACAAATCAAGGTATGCTTTCAATGCTCGTACCTCTTTTCAAGTCTTTGTTGCCTAACCTATCCCCCAAGAGTCAAGGATTGGCTATATGGCATCACCAAACACCATCCCGGTGGCACCGCCAAGTCGATCGTTTCAGCAGCTTTTGAGGCTGAAGATCTCCTCTCTGTATATCACCTAGTCAACTGGCGTAAAGAGTTTGGGGGTGCAGGCATCACACCGGACTTCCCACCGTGGGAAAACGTCACCTCAATCTTCCCGTTACACAACCCTCGTGCAAATCGGGCGCTTCTGGCTCATCTCAGCACGCGCGTCTTCTTGGATCTATCCGATCTCGACCAGATCCGTAATCTTTGGGGTTCCAAAGTCGCTTTTTACTTTGCTTTCATTCAAACATACTTCCGTTCACTTGCCTTCCCATGCATTGCTGGACTTTTTGCATGGGCATTCCTTCCAAAGTATTCGCTGTTCTTCGCCTTGTTAATTGGCGTTTGGTGCACAGTATTCTTGGAGTACTGGAAGATTAAGCAAGCAGATCTTGCTATCCGCTGGGATGTGCGGGGCGTTGGTAGTTTGAAGGTGGATCGTCCACAGTTTCGTTATGAGAAAGAGATCATTGATTCAGCTGGAAGAGTGCAGCGCCATTTTCCCAGATGGAAACGAATCCTCCGACAACTGCTTGTCGTTCCTTTTGTTATTATCAGCACCGTAATTCTTGGAGTTCTCATCACTTGCGTCTTCTTTCTCGAAACATTCATTGGCGAGGCATACGACGGGCCGCACAAGTTCTATCTGGTAAGTCTATTCTTTGGTTGTCGCACCACGACGGATAGTCTAACAAAGTCCAGGAATACCTTCCGACTATTCTTCTCGCAGTTTTTCTACCTTATGTCACCAGCTTGCTGGAAGACATCGCTACCGTTCTGACAGACTACGAGAACCATCGTACCGAAGATCACCACCAGATGTCCCTCACTCAAAAGATCTTTGTACTGAACTCCATTACCAACTACTTACCCATCCTCCTCACCGCATTCGTATATGTGCCTTTTGGTAACAAAGTCTTGCCGCTGTTACAAAGCATGTTGGATGCGGTGTTGGGCTCCCAGAACAAAGGGAAGACCAAATTCCATGCCGATCCCGACAGATTACGCAACGAGGTCATTGCATTGACCGTAACTGGTCAAGTTTCCGGTGCGATTGAAGAGCTAGCATTACCTTGGCTAAAGGAGCAGGTCAAGCAATGGTGGCGCGATCGACAAGCTTCTCGAGCCCAGAATCAAGGCAACATGGGCGCACCACAGACACCGGAAGACCCCATTGAATCTGGCTTTCTTCGGCGCACAAGAAGACAAGCGCTTCGCCCCTCGTACAACGTCCAAGAAGATATTGCGGAAATGGTGATCCAATTCGGTTATCTTGCATTGTTCAGCCCCGTATGGCCACTAGTACCCATTGGATTCTTCATCAACAACTGGTTCGAGCTTCGGTCCGATTTTCTCAAAATTTGTGTGGAGCACCAACGACCCCATCCGATTCGTAGCGATGGCATCGGGCCTTGGGTCGCTAGCCTGGAATCCTTAACCTGGCTGGGAAGTGTCAGTAGTGCCGCCATTGTTCATCTCTTCGGCACCGAGCAATTTCTTGGCCCCTATCTTGGCTTGAGCACGTGGGCCAGTCTTCCACTCACAATCCTCTTATCAGAGCACATCTTCATGGCTTTTAGGGCAGCGGTCCGATTCGCACTTGCACGAATCGGGTCCGAGCAGATACGCAGAGAAAGAGCCGAGCAGTATGCCGAGAGAAAGCGACATCTCGATGAGCTGGAAGCAAAGGCCACAAAGGTATCCCATCTGGATGTCGCCGAGCGCGAAAGAAGGAAGAGCGTGAGGATCAATGCGGCAGATATCTTTTGGACTAAGCAGGTCGAAGTGGGAGCCAGTGCTGAAGCCGGTGTCAGTATTATCAAAGCGAAGAAGATTGCAAAGCACGAAAGTGAACTCACGGGTAGGAGCACCAAAGTAGACTAGTAGAGATTCAAGAAGCACACAATCATAGAGGAAAGATCAACTTCTTCATTCCTTTCAATCAAATATTTACAGTATCTCCACTACCAATCAAAGTATTTACAATAATATGTGAAAAAGAATAATAGGTAAGGGAGCAAGAGGAGACATGGTCTTCTCAATTCCCAGGATGCCCAGCATCGCAAGTAGTTTACTTAAGAGCGTTGAGGACAGTGGTGTAAGCCTGCTTGGGGTTGAAGCTGTTGTCGAAGAGGAGAGGGTTACCCTGAGGCCTCCAGGAGTCGGAGTCCTTGACACCCCAGACGGTGATACCAACGCAGTTCTTCTGGTTAAGGCAGGCCTTGGTGACGTTGGTCCAGTCAGCCTGCTGGGCGTTCTGGATGTCGACCTCGGTCATGGCGCACTCGGAAGCAGCGCTGCAGAGAAGCTTCATGGCGTCGATGGTAGCGGCACCCTGGCCGGAGGTAAGGTGAGTCTGCGAACCAATACCGTCGATGGGGACACCGGCGGCGATCCACTTCTTGACGTTCTTGGCGATGGCCTGGGTCTTTGCGTAGTTGGCGGTGTCAAGGCTATATGGGAGTCAGTATATCGAAAGCTTATTGCCGATAGATTGATGCTTACTTGTAGTCGTTGATGTAACGCTTGGCAGCTGGGTCAGCGTTCTTGGCAGCCTCGAAGGCGATGCGGACGAAGTCCTCACCGAGGACGTTGTAGAAGACGCTGGCACGGAAATTACCGTTCTCCTCGAACATCTCGTTGATGACGTCCCAAGCGTAGATCTGGCCCTTGAAGTGGCCCATGACGGAGGAGATGTGGTTCTGCATGACAGTGGTCAAGGTGGCCTTGTCCCTGATGGAAGAGACCCATGAAGGAAGCTGGGAGTGCCAGATGGTGGTGTGTCCACGGATGAGCTTGCCATTGTCCTTAGCGAACTTAGCAGTCTGGTCGGCAGTACCGAAGGTGAATTTGCCACGGGTGGACTCGGTAGCATCCCACTTCATGGAGTTCTCGGGAGTGATTTGACCGAAGTTGGCCTTGATGATGGCAGCGTTCTTGCCCTGGTTGAATCGGCCTGGGTCAGTAGCAGTACCGAAGTACTTCCTGCCCTTGGCCTTCATGGCGGCATCGAGGCTCTGCGCAGCCTGGCGCTCCTCAAGGAAAGCCTCTGGCTCAGCAAAGGGAGAGGCAGCGACCAAAGCGCTGGCGGAAAGGAGGGTGATGAGAGAAAACTTCATGGTTGCTAAATGATTGGTTTGATTGTTCGGTGGAATGGAGAAAGCTGAAATGAATGAATGTGATGGATACGAAAGATATGCTGATGGGCCCAGCTCTACTTATACCAATCCATCGTCCACAGTGTTCCCTAGACCATTCGGTGCACGCATTTCGTCTAAACAATGTAATTCGCCTCAAACAACGGCAGGCGTCGTCTAGAAGCCGCATACCCACCACGTTGTGGAGAAACCCCGAAAATAGGGCGTTAACGCAATCAAACATCGCCTGCAATCGTGCCTGCAATGCGTCGTTCATGTCGGCCATGCCCTGAATGATTCGTAGTCTTACCGTATAGAGCAAAAAAGTGGGAACAAGGCGTTTCGGGTTAATTTATTCCAAGCTTCGGTGGTCGGTTCTTGTGCTGCTTGAGGTACTTGGCGTTTTCTGCACGGGGAAAAAGCGGCTAAATGCGAGTAGGGAGTTCATGGCGAAACAACAACAGCCGGCCCTTGCTTGTTCCACCTTATTCTCGAAACGCGACATCATTGTACTGAATAAATTTCCGATATTAATATATCAACGGGGGCTGTGTCCAGGACGTCAATAAGTATACGCAAAATCATAGCTCTGTAGACCGCTTTACTCTGTGCTCGAGTAATTACTGCAGCACAACAACGACTGAATCCACGGAGCTTTGATAATAATTCACCGCAATACGGGATATCTCCGGTACCAGCACTGGTTCTACGGGTCCATTTCTGTTCTTCGTTGGTTTGGCTACGTGGTGACATGCGGGTATGGACGATTCGTGGAGAATATTCCGTAGTGATGGTCCTTATTCGCCGATCGACTTGGCACAAGACCATTTGGTAGGGGTAGTAAAGCCGTTGGGACTTGCGAGGATGGTTTCTCCGGGACAGAAGGAATTGTGGAGTGCATCTGTCTGGGGAAGTTGCATATGCAGCCAAGATACCTGCGGTTATTGTCTTCCACAAGCTTTCCAAGACTCCACTTGGCTAGCTGGATATCCAGGCTTAATGGATGTGGACGTTAATTGACACACCAATAAAGAGAAATGGTGTACATTCTCTACTGTGGAAGATTGTTATGCCGGACCAACTTCCAAAGCGAACCACAATGCTTACGCCAACACTGCTTACTGCATTGCGCTGGGATATCTTCCCCTTCGGATTTGTTTAGTGGTGTGACCAGATTGGAGCCCAAGGAATAATAACTGCTGCTCGTGTGGTGCTACACAAACCAGATCTCAGGACCGACGTCTATTTTGTCGCGATTCCAGTCAGCACTAGCATCTAGTATACATATTCTTCAACCAGATATTGCCATGTCAGTATCACATGGTGGTCCCTGGTAGTGCCTGAGCATTGCCTGAACTAGACCTAAACGATGATTGGTGCCCTTGATGTAACAGCCGTGTACGTGGATGCGCATAGATCATGTTCCTGTAACTGATCATCAATATGGCAGATCCTCCTCTTTCAATTTATTTCCGGGTAATGTGGGCAGAAAGTTGGTTCTCTTTTGGTTTGCTACTGCCTAAACTGTGGGAGGTTGAGCAGATTCTTTGCCCTGAAGTGGGCTGATGATGGGTAGTCGGCGCTTCTGCTTGAGATTGCAATCTCCCTGGAAAGGAAATAGAACCGGTTCTAAATACAAAGCCTCCTCTCGTATGGTAATCCCTATATAAAGCCAAAGGGGGAGGAAGGGAGGAAGGGAGGGAGGGAAGTGGAGCCGCGAACACTAAGCTGTGAGTCACGTGAAATCGGTCTTCGAGATGACGTCATGATCCTCTTCATTTCGTCCATACCAGCTGTTCTCATGTCCGGTTCCAACTTGTTATCTCCAGCTATATGTTCTTAAACCCAGCTCTATCTTCTCATGCCCAGATCCGGCCTTTGCACCACAGTTCGGACGTCCGTCAATGTCCGGATCACTACGGAATTCCGACTGGCTAGACTTTCAATATAAAACTCGTCTTCAGTGTTGTTATATCATATGCGTAATCTAAGTCTTGACGATCAATGCTCTAAGCTTTCACAAGCTTCCTCCATCCTTGTGGCACTCACTTTAATCGACTGCAAGCTTTTCCTTTCTTCCATCGCATCTACCGATCGGTAGCATGGCTTCGAAGATCTTTTTAAACAAGATCGCACTGGTTGGTGCTAATGGCAATATTGGCTCACACATTCTATCAGCCTTGCAGGCCAAGGACCGATTTCAGATCACTGCCATTAGTCGGTTACAATCCAAAACTACATTTCCAAGTGACATCGGTGTTGCACGTGTCAACTATGCTGAACCTGAGACTCTGGTCAACGCCTTGAAAGGACAAGATGCTCTTATAATCACCATGAGCGTCTTCGCGCACGATGCGCAGGAAAAGCTCATCCGTGCAGCAGCTCAAGCCGGGGTACCCTGGATCCTGCCAAACGAATTTGGCATGTTTAATACAGAAGATATTCAAAATGAGACGATAGGATCCGGGAAGCAGAGGGATCGCGCTCTAATCGAGAAACTTGGTGTCTCATCCTGGATCGGAATGACTAGCGGGTTTTGGTACGAGTATTCGGTCAGCGGTGGGCAATACGGTATCGATCTCAATAAACGAGAAGTGGTGTACTTTGATGACGGAAATCAGCGTCTGAACACTACAACATGGCCCCAGACCGGACTTGCTGTAGCGAATTTGCTGTCGTTGCCTCTATCATCATTTGATGAGAAGGACCCAACACTCGAGCAATATCGCAATCGCATGTTATTCTTTTCGTCATTCACTCTCAACCAACGCGAGATGTTTGAGGCGGCGCAGAAGGCTACCGGAACCACAGAAAAGGATTGGAAGATATCATCGGAGCCGGCCAGGGAGCGACTGATGAAGGCAAGGCGGAGACTGATGTCTGGAGATCGTAGTTCGTTTGCAACGGTTTTGTACACGCGATACTTCATCGACGATGCTGGTCTATACGAAAAAAACCACGGTCTGAATAATGATGAGCTGAGTTTGCCCAAGGAGGACTTGGTCGAAGCTACGAAAAGAGCCGTGGAGTTGGCTAAGACTGACTTTTGGGACAAGATGTACAAGTAGTCTGACCATCACATACACGAATAGAACTAGGCTACTTTGAATGTGATTGCTGTGTACTGAGTTTCGAGTCATGTTTTTCTACACACTGAACGCGGTGAAAAGATCGACTGCTTCTCGGCGTCACTAGAGACTCATGTCGCGGCCTTGCTACTTTTGGACTATATTCATTAGTCAAATACGATAGCAGCCTTAACAACTTCCTGCTTCCTCACTGCCTCCAGACACTCCGCCCACTCCTCAATTCTATACGTCTTGTTCGCGATACCCTTCAGCTTGAGTCTTCCAACATTGACGTATTCCAGCACATGTGGCAAATGGCCCATACTACAAAAACTGGCCAAGATGGTAACCTCATTTTCCCAAATCTGAAATGGAGACCACGAGATTTTGACGCTATCGTCATAGACGCCATAAACAACTAATTTTCCGCCTTTTCGTACAAATTCAAGGGATATTTCTAGGACTGTGGGAGCACCGGTAGCTTCTACGACGATGTCAAATCCATACGGGTTAGCAGCGCGGAGGTCCTGCATATCGGTCTCGGGGCGATCGTCGGAAATGGTAATAAAGGAATCGGCAATGGCCAACGAGCGAGCAAGGTCGAGTTTAGGTCCTGCTTTTGAGGCGATCGTCAACTGAGGATCGTTAGCAATCGTTATTGAGTATGGAAGGGGTTCACATGCATGTGCAGCACCATTCATTTTGATCAATTGCGCAAGTAATATACCTGTTGGTCCACATCCGAACAACAATACCCGGCTACCAACTTCTAGTTGCATCCTCTCGATACCATGTGCAGCGCAAGCTGCTGGCTCCAGCAGAACCGCTTCGAGGTCCGAAAGGTCACCAATCGGAAATACCATTCTTGCAGGATACCGGCAATACTCAGCCATACCACCAGGTACATTACCACCATATCCAATGACGTTTTCGCAAAGCTGTGGCTTCCTTCGAGTGCAGTAGAAGCATTTGAGACATGGTTCTAGGGCATCCGCTGCTACACGGTCACCAACTGCTACGTTGGTTACATTCTTGCCGACGGCAGCGACTGTGCCTGCTGCTTCGTGGCCTGTAGCTGTGAGTAGGGAACAATACATCTACATGAGATTGGGCATACCGGGTATTAGGGGCCACTGATATAATTTGTCAGCAAGGTCGATGTGACATGCGGACAGCTGATCTTACCCTTGCCAAAAATTCGCCTTTATGGTAATGCAAGTCCTTGAAGTCGGTCAGTAAGCGGGGACTGGATGCTCTTCGCGAAATATCACGTACAGTTCCGCATACACCACAAGCCGAGATCTTGACCTATTTCAAGTTACTTCCCAGCAAGCAGCGAAACGTAAGCCGGCCAACCTTACAAGAACGTCATCATCCCCGATCTTCGGAACATCGATTGTTTCCACCGCAAACTTCTCTGGTCCAGAGTATCTAGTAGCCCTTAGCAAGATGTCAATGCTACTGCAAAGTGCGAGCATGCCTTACTGCAGCGCCTTCATCTTCTCAGGTACAACCTGAGGCTGGCTCTTCTTGGGGGTTGCATGGCCGTTCATCGTGATATGAAAGAAGTTGAAAACTTTGAATCTCTATGAAAATAATACATCGTCAACCGAAGCATTTTATACCCAAAGTTTTAATGTATCCCGCCACGAATGTTATGTTAGACGCGTCTATATCTGGGGTGCGGGGTTCGGTATACCTTCCTCGTCGCGCCTGTTCCAGCGCTGCCGGCATTTCTCCTTTGGGAAAGCGTGTATACTTGACGAACCACAACTGTGCTACCGTGGCCATTATCTTTGTTTTAGTCTAGTTTGTATGCATTTGGTGGGAAAGCGCTACTCTTTTTATACTACTCGGTTTTTCCTGCACACTATCTGCGTTGAGATCCAGTATTTGGTGTACAATGCACTTTGTCAGTGTTTTGAGTAGTCAAGATCAGTAGGTGGTGTCAGAGTGTTGATCCATGCATCGGAATTGACCGGGAACTTAAACTGTCAACACCAGTGAGGGTTTTTAGATTACGAATTCAATATGCCCTCGTGGATACGTGGGGAATGGCCGTCGAGTGGCGCCACTATGTAATCCTCTATATCTGCACTGATTTGATTATTTGCTCAAAGCAGAAAATATCTATATTGATATAGCCTCACCAAAGACATGGAACGTAAACATACCAATGTTAAATTAGCGTGATCTACACGTCCAGGTGTTGAACATCATGATATCACAATGAGTAAAGCATCAACCAGTCATTAATTTGGTCCTATTCCTGAGAGAAACATACACACAGTATGGGTCAACAGTGAATTGATATGGAATTTGGAAATTCAACTCCACGAAGAAACCGCAACAATACCACGTGGAGCGTCCAGAGGGATTTCTAAACGAAAAGTACCTTTTAGTATGACATTCAAATTTAAGAGGTAACTCTTTGGATGAGAAATGATCAACATTGTAGAAGAGGGACCGAAAATAGCCTTGGACAACGCCTTCCGATACTGCGCATCCAGAGGCTCCAACAGAACCATAGCACACTTCTTTGCAGCCCTGAGATCTCTGACCATGCGATTGTGGTAAGGCTTTGATATTCAAGCACGCGTTCCCTGGCGAGTTTCAAGCAAAAGATCTGCCGTAACCGCAGTCAGGGGTAGCCCAACCCATCAGGCGCCACAACGATGCGAAACAATCGTGCATTCTCATGTACATAGATAGTTGGCTTATTAGCCTGATGACATGCCTATGTCCCGTTTTTTTTATCACAACTGCCGTGCCTACCTAGGCAACTTTTGTTGAATGCCAGCCTTGAGGCTGACATGTGAAACACTAGCATATCGCGGCCGAGCCTCTCATCACGTGATGACTTTTGCCCTGCGGTAGCACGAGTAAGTGAAACGAAACATCTAGACCAGGATGAAACTTGGCGGCCCGCGATTTAGGGCGACAAGATGTCGGATTCGTTCGATGCACCTAGTCTTCATACCCGTGTGTCTGCGCTTCGGCCTACTTTCCCTAAAAGGTTCGACAGGGCTGATGCCGTAATTGGTGGCGTGTTGGCTAGGTCTGTAATTACCTTGCCGCTGTGTTCCCGTGGTGTGTAGGAATAGTTCATCGTGTATTGGCGCTAAGGCGTTCAATCAGAGAATGTTGGTTGGTAATTTGCTTTGTGCAGCCGGTACAATGATGACGGCCACCTCGATCTACACAATGGACTGCAACGACCTGGTTTTATGAAGGCAGTACTGATTGAGTTAAGGGTAATGTCATCTTGAACTACGGCTTGGTCGCGCTTTCTGGTAAAGCACACAATGCTATTGGTTCGGAAGCTTGACACTTGCAACATCTGCTAAGAACAGATCTAACGTCTATCAGCCGTAACGAGACACCGGATGTCACGAGGCGGATTCGTGATGCGGAGTCCCGGAATCTCTCCTTTATTGATTTACAAGGATGGAGGTAATTGCTCACTATTCTACACCTATTTCTTCCTCAGAATACTAATATCCAGCAAGCACTATCGCACGGTTGCTCCTGCTGTCGATCGTTGCCGATTGGTTCGTTGACTGTTCACCCCTGTTTATTCGCACTTGAGTGTGTTTCTTCAAAACTCGGAGGGCTGGAGGAAAATTTCTATCACGGAATATATGTATTTGAGGGTTGACGGCTCTTGAGATTTAGGGGAGATATATTCAGAGAGTTTCGCTGGTTGAAGTATGGATCCATCAAAATCTCGACAAAGCCTAAGTAGTGTATGCCAGATGGCGTTAGTGTGATGCATCATAGCTCTGTAGTCTATAAAGATTACCGCTATCCTTATTATAGATTAGACCCATGAAGCAGTCCAGCACGCGCGTTTCTCTCAACAGCAGTTTTCATTATCCACGTGCCCTTTGTCCGCCAGCACTGCACCGCTGTTGTCTGGAAATCGCGTTCGTTCTATCTCGTCGTCCATCACCCATCACCAGCGTTCAGTGAACCAACATCGATAAGGCAAGTCAAGCATTAACACGAAGAGTTCCCCCTGATGTATCCAAATTGTATCGAGCCTTAGCAGACCACAGCGGGGTCCCTCGCGCTACCATCCACCATCATGCGAACAGTCGGCGCTCAATAGAAGAGAAGGCTCTGAAGCAAAAGTATCTTCACCTATAGGAAGAGGAGGTCCTTATTAAGTTTCTTTTATAAATGTCTAATCTCAGACAACCTATACGAATAAAGTTTATACCCTTACTAGCCTTCTATATTACCTTCTAGTAATCTACTAAAAAGAACCTTCTGAACCTCTATTTCTCGGCTAGTTAAAAACTCTAGAAATACTCTTTCTAGAGACTAAAGTAAGCCGAGTTAAGGCGCTAGAATAGAACTACTATAGGAAGAATACCTATAGAAATATGAATAATAGAACGAGTCTTTAAGTAATAAGCAGTCGCCGGTACTTGTGTTGACGGATGTTACAGCTGCTAGCGAAATACAGCTCTGTATAGAAGCTGTTATTGCTAGAGTTTTTTGTGTGGTACTCTATTGAGCTTGATAAACTAATCAGTATCGATAAACGTGATTCCACCAGCTTGCTCTCTTTTGCAATACCGTCTCTGCGCGACTTTGGCCCGTTTCAGTCACTCCACAAGGGCCCCAATCAGCTTGTGTCTTTTTAAACTAGAATCCAGCTCCGTTCTATTCAGCTTGGGTCTTATGGTGTTGCTAGGTCTAGATAATGCTGTCATTGAGCAACCCAGTATTATAGCTCTGCCAAGGGCGATAGCATGATATCACCCCACGCAATCACCCCTAGGCAGCAAAGCTGTTCAACTCTGATGCTACCTTCGTCGCTGGCGCCAAAGCCGCTATAGCTGAGCCGGATTTTGGTAGTGATACACAAATCATCCGGTTCTGACTCTCTTTTCACCTGACTGGTCAGATCATATACGGAATTACTCGCCGCGATTTCACAAGGGACATACCGATAAAGAGCTAGAATCAGTCACTGAAGAACTTACATGATCTGTATGACTGATACGGCCCAAAAACGGCGGAATCATAACTTGACTTGTGATTTACTAAGCTCGAGCACTTTCGGGCCGTTGACGGCGCTATAGACGAATAAAACCGCCATACAGTAGAGTGCACCAATCTCATTACTGACCCACCCTCTAGCTCACTCGCACGTGCTGCAACAACAAGGCTGCATCCGCCTTCAATTGATACAACCCCATTCTGTCCCACCGGTTTGTTGTTCGACCTGAGCCAGCTGAGACAAAGTAAAGTACAACTCGCAACGGACAGGCAAAAATGCAACGATTTGTAGTATTGCCGTACTGTATAAACGGATGAAGTGCGGAAGTGATCTAGGCTGCTGTGTAGGTGACGCGTCTTTGCGATTGTGGATTCGATGCTGGGTCTCTAAATATGGATGGCATGAGATTAGAAATACAAAGAAACGTAGTCAAAACTTTATACATTGATCTACGATATCCACGGACCAGGGTGGACGTCGGAATTAGGACATAAACGCATTTAAGACCCTCAGTGTCTATGTATAAGTACGTGAGGAAAGAGTGAGAATTCTTCACCAGAATCCCATCTCCAAGACGCAGAAAATCACATTTCACTGTTCTCTTGTAAAAAGCATCTATATATTCTGTAACCAACCCAGAAAATTGCAGAATGGTTGACCTCGACTTCCGCTTCCGTCAGCCCTCCTCAAGCTTGACCAAGCATAATGACACCTATCCGTTCATAGATCCGTCAAAATATGCGAGAGCTCATACCGGAAAGACAGTTGTTGTTACCGGTGGAGGCCAGGGTTTGGGGAAAGCCATAGCTTTAGCCTTTGCAAACGCTGGAGCCGATATTGCTATTATCGGTCGTTCTCAGCAACCTCTCTTGGCGACTGCATCCGAAATCGAAGCCAAAGGAAGAAAATGCATTGCAATTCCCGGGGATGTCACAGACTCCGCATTCGTCAATCGAGCCGTTGCGGAATGTGTCGAAAAGTTGGGGGGGGGATTGACATCCTTATCAACAACGCAGGCGTTGGTCGTTTCTCCACACTCGCAGCTGACGACATGTCCAAATGGTGGGGCGTATTCGAACTCAATGTCCGCGCTGTAGCCGAAATGGCCCATGCTACTCTGCCAATCATGTTCGCGCGCGGCAAGGGGATCATTTTCAATATAGCGTCTGATTCAGGCATCATCGGCATCCCGTTTACGACGGCTTATTCGTCGTCAAAATCTGCTGTCATCAAGCTCACAGAAGTTCTTTCTTGGGAGGTTGCCTCTAAGGGCATACGCGTCTACGCTATCCATCCAGGAACAGTGGCCACTGGTTTTGCCGGGGATCAAATTGTCAATCACGAGGAGGTGGCCACGAATAGCAGTATGAAGTGGATGCTCGATATGAAGGGCGAATTTCAGGAAGATACGCCAGAGCTGAGTGCAAATGGTTTGGTCGCGTTGGCGGATATGGGTGAATCTGAAGTGAAGGCGTTGAATGGCCGTTACATCAATCTGACGAGGGACGTTGGAGAATTGATCGAAGGCGTGAAAGCCGGGAAACTCGGTGATTCCACAGCTCTGCTTACTATGAAAGAGATGTAGCTTAGTTACTCTACTACTGAATTTTACATGACTCGCTGTTCTCTTTCGTCCCATGCAAGGTGACTGTTATTTAAGATCGTGCCCCTGATGCTTGTCATTCTACGACTCAAGACACTAAGGGATGCTATTCCATAATTCTGAGACGACGGAGATAATTGACACACTGCGTTTTTGCTCATTCAAATTCTAGTTTTCATTGTTCATAAGCACAGATGCATGTCAGACACTACAGTCAGCCAATGTCTTGTTTACAGCTCTCAAGACATGTGCCTCTCATGCCAGAAGACCCGAGAGCCCAATGACTATACAAAATCAGATTGGATGTTGAATTTAATTAGATTGACGTGAGTATGATTCGTTCATAGAAGTGGTACCGAAGACGTATCAACGCTACGTAAAAGCTTTCCGTCGCAAATAGGTCATATCTACTTTTGAAGTTATATTTAACGTGTTTTATAAGCGAGTCGGCCATACAAGCGAGTCGGCCACCCCACCAACTTCGCGCACCTTTACAAGCGTATAGCTCCACCACATATAGATAGTTTTAGTAGATATTAAGATAATAGACTAATTGCTATCTAGAGTATCTTTCTTACATGTACGTG